TGGAAGCTAACACGTGGTCCAGTTACCTTCATTGTTCCTGCCGACAACCAGCCAACCACCAGACCAGTGAAGCCATTGGTCGCCAGGTGACCACAAATGCTTGCGTTATGTCCACCCATCACTATATGGTGCTGAGGAAAATTATTCTGAGCCTAGCCCAGATCGCCTGTCCACACAATGATAAGTAAATGGTGTTTTTTTTTTAAAACCATCAAGCTTTGTGGTTGGTTGTTACACAGCAAAAGTGGATTATAACTGGTATAAGTGACACTGATACAAGCTAGCTCTTCATTGCTAATGTGACTCCACATGCTGGTATGTGTATGACCTGGGGAATTATGGATTGTATCAGTATATCTGCCAGCTAGACCTCCCCACTTCAGAGTCAGGTGTCCAAAACTGAGTTCATCTTCAACTCACTTCATCATCTCCTACCACCAAATCTCTCCCTGTATCCTAGGTCACCTAAAACAAGTCTGGGAAAAAATTCCTGATTTGTCCCTCGCCCTCCACATCCAAACACTTACCGTGTTGTTAGTTTTTACCATTACTCCCTGTACTCTCTCTCCACTACCCCACTTCAATGTATAATTCCATCGCTATTCTCTAGCCTCATTTTTCTATATTATTTTCTAATTGATATGGTTTGAATGTTTCCCCTCCAGGTGTTGCCACTGTGATAGTATTAGTAGGTAAGGCCTTTAAGAGGTGGGTAGGCCATGAGGATTCCTCCCTCATGAATGAGATTAGGTGCCTTTATGAAGAGGCTTGACAAAGGCAGTTTGTCCCTTTTGCCTTTCCATCTTCAGCCTCGTAAGGACACAGTGTTCCTTCCTTTCGGAGGATGCAGTATTCAAAGCACCATCTTGAAAGCAGATAACAGCCCTCACCTGAAGCCAGCACCTTGATCTTGGAGTTGCCAGCCTCCAAAATTGTAAGGAATTTATTTCCATTCTTTATAAATTACCCAGTCTGTGGCATTCTGTTATACCAGCACAAAGAGACTAAGATACTAATGTTCTGTGCCTCTCCAATCTATCTTTCACCTGGTAGCCAGAATCTTTCTAAAATACAGACCTAAACATGTCACTCGCCTGCTTAAACTCTTCAGTGTTTCCCTATTGCTTTCTGGATAAAATCCAAAATTCTTAGTATGGCCTTCAGAGGTCTGGCCCTGTCTTCTTCCTCAAAATTAGGTCCTGACACTTCTCAAAAGTTTCCTTATGCCTCAGCCACTTCTAACTACTTAAGGTCTCCAAAACATGCATACTTTTTCCACTCCTCTTGTCCTTTGCAAATTCTGTTCCCTCTGATTAGAAGACTTGATTTGCCCTTGCAATCCGTTTAATTCCTACATGTTTTTTTTCCCTCCTTTTGTGTGGTAAAACACATATATCATAGAATTTACCATTTTAGCCAATTTCAAGTGTACTATTCAGTGGCATTAATTACATTCATGTTGTTGTGCAATCATCACCACAGTCTACCTCCAGAAAATTTTCATTATCCCAAAATGAAACCATGTACTCATTAAACAATCTCCCCATTAACTACTCTCTCCCTCCAGCCCCTGGTAACCATTCCTACCATGTTATTCTTACGGCTCTCCTCAAACATCATCAGCTATCTCAGGGTTTCTCTCTTGTGCTTACATGGTAGTCCAATGTAGTGTTTGGCACTCTGCATTGTCAATGTTAGTTTAAACCTCTACTTTGTCCCCTAAACTGTGAACTCCTTAAGGACAGGAACCATTGTCTCATTAGTCTCTTTATATCTTTGGGTAACAATGTTATGTACCAAATGGTTCATAAATATGTCACCAAATCTGCTTTTGCATTGCTTTTGAATCACCTAGAGAGCATTTAAAGATGGATTTCCAGACTTCATTCCCAGATATTGTGAATCAGTAAATCTGGGGAAGGGCTTGGGAATCTGAAATTTGAGAATGCTCTCTAAATAACATATGTGCAAGTAAGCAGTCAAGATTTGGAAGTCAGATTGATCTAAAAACCATGTCTAAGTGAGATGGTCTTTTAATTCTTCATGAGTCATTAAAAAGATGCCAATTCATTTCTCTTGATTTACATGTTCTGCGTGTCTAGTTTTAGAGAATTATAATAAAGAATTCAAAATCCCTTAGCAATGATTTTTCTCAACCATTCTCCTTCCACTAAGGGTTATATAAGAAAAACCACTTTGTTTCCATGTGGACTGATATTTTCAAAGTGCTTCCTCATCTTCTCTCAACAACCCTCTGAGGTAGAGTATTAGCTCCAATTTGCTTTACTATATTTAACATTTACCATCACTTACCAAAGCCCTGACAATCCTGTCATCTCAGGGCTACTTCTAGTCTGTTTATTCATACATTCACTCAACAAATACTTATTTGAACACTTACTATGTGTTAGTCACTGTTAGGTACCAGAGAATGAATGAACTGTGCAAAATTCCTGCCTGCATGGAATCCTAGTTAGGGGGAACCTTCTCCTCAGAGTGCCTCCTGTAAGAATATTTCCCCCAGCCTGTCCTAGTCTGAATCTTCTAATTGGGACTTCCAACCCTCCACTCCACCCTTACTCAAGGGTAACATTTGCTCCCTGGCCATGTCATTTTCTGTCTCTTACAGGCGATTCTGCTGCTGTGGTGCTTGTAGTAGCTGTTAAGACTGTACATTGGCTTCATGTTTACATGAGTTCTCTGTGACTGTGCAGCTGAATGAGTTCTGTGTGTCTTGTCTCCGAGGGATGAAACTCCTGCTTGTGGTTAGTTCTAAGTCCTCACATGATTAATGACAGCTTCGCATGCTTCTCAGTGGGTCCGACAAAGAAATAAGCCCAGGTTTTACCTACCTGAAGATTACAGTCTGCACCTACAGATTCTCTTTACTAAGATAACTACAAAACCTAACAAAAATGAAACGATTTCGTTAAAGTTCGTCATAGAATGTCAGAGCTAGAAGAGACCTTAGAGAAGCAGCCCCACTGACTTTCACAGATCAGAGCACTGAGACCCAGAGAGGTTACCTAAGTTGCCTCAGGTCACACAGCCCACCTGAAGAAGGAGGACCGGTGATCAGACTATAATTTACAATCAATCACATGGGGGGGGGGGCTGCCTCCTAAAATTTAACGTCTACATGAGGTCCAGCCGTCGCACTGCCCCTCTGTCCTTTCTTGCATTGATTCCACATCGCTCTTTCTTGAAGAGTGGTTAAAATACCAGGTTGGGGCATTTCACAAACAGGTGTCCAGACCACGGACCCAGCGTCGGGGAATCTGGGTCTCCACTTGCCCGCCGAGAACTCTCCAGCTCCCGCTTACAAAGTTTTCTCGCATCCTACGTTTCTCGTTCAGATCCTTGGCCGCGAGGCCAAGATGCCTGCCGTCGCCTCTGACGAAGTTCGGAGATGCCCTTTCCTCACAGAAGCCGGGCCGGGCGTCCTCGGGCCTGGCGAGCGGTGGGAGCGCCGGGCGCGGGGCGGGGCGGCCCCTCAGCGCGCGCTGCCCGCCCCGGCTGCGAGAGCCGCGGGCCCGCGAGCCCCGGCGCGGAGCGAGAGGCGCGCGCGGGCCGTGGGGGCTGGGCCGAGGCGGAGCGCGAGGCGGCGGCGGCGGCTGGAGGCGCCGCGGGACTAGGCAGCGGCCCCCGCCCCCTGAAGCCCGTCCCCGCGCGGGGCTGGGGAGCTCAGGGCGGGGAAGCCGCGGGGCCGCGCCACGTCCCTCGCCCGCCCCGGAGCGGGTTTTGCAGGCGGCTCCAGGCTGGGGGCTTTTGTGTCTGCGACTCGGGAGCGGCGAGAGCGCAGACCTCCTCCTCAGAGGGCGCTGTGAGTGCGCCGCCAGGGCCGGGCCGCCCGCCTCCTGCCTCCCCTGTCAGCGGCTCCTGAGGCGGCGGCGGCGAAGAAGAAGGAGTGGGAGGCGGCGGCGGCGGCGGCGCACTCGTCCTCCGCACATGCCGGCCCCGGGCGGGGGGCCGCCCCCAGGCCGCACTCCCGGCCGCCACCGCTGAGCCCGGCCAGCCCCCGCACGCCGCCCCGCCGCCCCGAGGCCTCGTTCTCCTCCCAAACTTTGCAAAGTCGGCCCGCGTCCTCGCCGCCCTCGGCCGTGCCTCGCCTCCGAGGCTCGCCTCGCAGCCGCAGCGGCCCCGCGAGGAGGAGGAGCCGCCGCCGCTGCATCAAAGAGACCGAATTCCCGCGGCCTGGGGGGGAGTCATGCTTTGCGGTCTGTAATGTCAGCAGAACAGGAGAAGGATCCCATTTCGCTGAAGAGAGTTCGAGGTAACCGAGAAGGGCGCCGGATTGGGGGGGACCGGGGTGAGTGGGGTGCGCGGGGCCCCGCGCCCGGCCGCCGGGAGGCCACGGGGCTCTGTCCGGGCCTAAGTCAGCGCAGCCCTCGTCCCGCCCGCGCCCCGGGGCCGAGGCTGCGATCCGAGCGCGCGGCCCGGCGCCCGCTCGCCCCCAGACGCCCGCGCGGAGCCCTTCTCTCCCGACTTTGTGTTGGGTGGCAGTTGGAGCCGCACTCAGCATCCCTTCATACCCCTCTCCTCTCCCACCTCGCCTCATTCTTAAGACACAGCACAATAGACACCGCAGAGGGTGAAAAAGAGACACCCCCTGGCAGAGACCTCGAACGAGGCCTACCCGCCCCCCCAGAAAAGTAAGTTGGACTGCATAAGAGTTGACGCTCGTGAAGGAGGTCTACGGGGCTTTCGGGGCTCTCTCCCAGCCCCCCCATTCACACACACCCCCCAGAAGCAACAAATATTCAGTTTCTTTTCCTTAGGTTTAAGAGGAGAAACTAAAAATTCAGAAGACATTTTTCTCTGTTGGTTTATGGATAAGAATCAAATCATCTAAATCAGTCCTATATACATGATTGGTTTTCTTCTTCCTTGCAAACTAGTTAGGAATTTTCCTGCCGCCTTACTATCTGAGAAAAATCAGAGGGAACGATGTACCAGACAAAAGATACTGCACGTAAGTTCACAAATGCCAAGTGCCATCTGGAAATTTGGGGATATCCTCCAACTCTTATTTCCAGCTCTTAATAGGGTTGACACTGAGAGTCCCAAAGTTAGAGTAACAGTCTTTGTTCACCAAATAAATATTTATTGAACATTTACTATGTGCGAGGCACTGGTTTTGGCACTGGGATACAGCAGTGAACAAAGCAAATAGACGATCTTCACCCAGAAGGCCTGTGCATTTTTGTGGGGTAAACAAATGATAAACAAAAGGTATAGAATGTCGGATGGTGGTTGCTATGGCGGGAAAACAAAGCTGGGAATGAGGATAGGAAATATGTACAGGAGTAGGGAGGTAGCGATTGTATGTAGGCGATCATAAAAGGGCTCACCTGGAACATGATGTTTGAGCAAAGATCTAAAGGAAGTGCCAGTAGAGCCATATGGATTTGCATGGGAAACGCAGTCTTGGCAAATAGAACAGCAAATGCAAAGGCCCTGGGTCTCAAATATGCCTAGTGTATTGAAGCAACAGCAAAGAAGCTATTGTAAGTGGAGTGAAGTAAACGATGGAATGAGATGGGCTGAGAGGTGGGTTGATAGTGTGTTGGAGGGCCTTGTGTGTCATTTTAAAAACTTCAGCTTTTACACTGAAATAGAGCCTGGGGAGTTTTGAGCTGAAGAGTAATTGATCTGACAATTTTTTTTTTTTTTTTTTGAGACAGAGTCTCACTTTGTTGCCAGGGCTAGAGTGCCATGGCATCAGCCTAGCTCACAGCAACCTCAAACTCCTGGGCTCAAGCCATCCTCCTTCCTCAGCCTCCTCAGGACTACAGGCTTGTGCCACCATGCCCGGCTAATTTTTTCTATATATTTTTAGATGTCTAATTAATTTGTTTCTATTTTTAGTGGAGACAGGTCTCACTCTTGCTCAGGCTGGTCTCCAACTCCTGAGCTCAAACGGTCCACTGGCCTCAGCCTCCCAGAGTGCTAGGATTACAGGTGTGAGCCACTTCGCCCAGCCTTGATCTGACGTTTTTAACAGGGCTTCTTTGGCTGCTGTGTGGAGAGTAGCCTGTAGAGAACAAGGGATGAAGCAGGGAGACTTGTTAGGAGGCTATTGCAATAATCCTTTTATCCAAACAGGGTAAAGTGCTTTATAAATCAGTAAGTAGTAAGGGAAATTTCCAATCGACTTAAGTAATTCAGAGACGAAGGACCACAGTTGTTCATTTATGTTTTTGTTCAATGTGACTAGAGATTAAACGTATATAGAACTGGTTTGTGACACGCTGACAGTGTGGTATCCAAAAGACATCCACTCAAGAGTATTTAGGTAGAAATTGATTTTCTTAGCCATTTAAGCAAAAACATGATTTCAAGCAGAATATTGTTTTTAAAGGCTTAATATCAGCACAACCTTTCATTTAGTGTAATATTTTAACCCTCTTTTCTATTTGTGGATATGAGTTGCCAAAGCTATTAAGGAATAGACCTTTGTTAAGATAGTTATTCCCCTGATGTTTTTCTGTATTATTTTGCCTATTACTATAAATTGCTTTGGGATTGAAAGAAAAGAAAGCTATCAAATTTATACCTTTGAACTCAATTATTGGTCTTAATCAAATGTAATTCTAAACAAAATGGATAAGTGTTTTATTATGGGTCAAGAGCACAGATCCATCTTGTTTTGTTTCAACTGCTGCTTTTAAATTCCATGCCTTAGCTGTTGGGAGTTGACTCAGGTCTTATCTCAAGAATATTCTTAAAGTATCAGAATAAAAGATAAAATGCTTTTAACAATAAAAGTCAATTTTTATTTTATAAGTCATTTTGTAATAATTAGAACATTATTTTAGAAAACATTTTTTGATCATTTTATGATCCATAAAAGGCACTGTAATATCTACATGAGCTCTTCTGAAGCACAATTCTGCTGAACTTCACTGCCCTGGAACTTTTTGTTATAATTTGTATCAGACTACATGCAGGATGTAGTGTTTAGAGGGCATAAACTCTTGAGTAGTACTTCTCGAACCTTGATCCACTGATGTGTACAGACAGACCTTTTTAATGGTTATGTATTTCATTCATATTACAAAAAAAGTCATCAAATCCCTTGCTTAGGATAAGGCCAATACATATAATATGTATGTGTATAAACATTTTGATGAATTTTTAGGAAAGTAGTATTATAGGTGGAACTCAGGTACTGCAGAATTACGACACGAATGAATGAGGACTGTACAGTAGTATGTTCTCTATACCAAAAGCATCATAATCACCTATGATCTTTATTAAAATATAGATTCCTGGATCCACAGAATCAGGACTTCTGAGAAATTTCTCTGCACCTTTAACAAGATCCCCAAGTCTTCCTTATGCACATTAAAGTTTGAAAACTGCTGCTGAGCTAGATTGCAAAGCTGAGTAGATCAGAAGCAGCTTGTTTGTGGTCTTCCAAACTTGTCCTGATATTTTAACATTAGATTTAGAATTACCATTTAGTGGCATAGTATCTTACTCCTATTTTCGACTGCTTCTTACCACCCCCAATCCCTTAGCTTTTGATTATAAGACAGATTTATGAGGATAGGTTCTAAGTCTTGATTATCTTATTTGCCTTGCCCATAGTAGTAAATGCCAAATGAATGAATGACTACATGAATTGTGCTCTTTTCTGATTGTCCATAGCACTTCATACTACTTTTACCTGCTCCTTTCCCTTAGAATGTCACTTGTCATCTTATTTTAACCAACACTTCTATTCTCCAGTATTCTTAGGACATTTTTAGACCTTAATCTAAGGGCAATAGTCATTAATTTATTCAACAATTTATTGAGCAGCCATAGCACCAGATAGTCGCAATACATTGATTAAGAAGATATTATACCTGTCTTCAAGAAATTGTTAGTCAAGGGCGGACGTGCTTGCTCATGCCTGTAATCCTAGCACTTTGGGAAGCTGATGTGGGAGGATCACTTGAGGCCAGGAGTTGAGGCCAGCCAGAGCAATATAGTGCAAGACCCTGTGTCTATCTTTGCCGTATCTGCTGCGAAGCTGAGACGCACCGGAGGTCGCTCTTGTTTTCAGTTCCGTAGTCCCCGAATTTCTGCCTAGCATTCTCCTGTAGGAGTGGGGCTCTGTGCGATGTAGTTTGGTAGGAAACGGTCCCTGTGCCTGGCCTGTTTACCCCAAGTGTTTGTGTTTCAGAATGAAGACCATTCTCAGCAATCAGACTGTTGACATTCCAGAAAATGTCGACATCACTCTTAAGGGATGCACAGTTATTGTGAAGGGTCCCAGAGGGACCCTGCGGAGGGACTTCAATCACATCAATGTAGAACTTAGTCTCCTTGGAAAGAAAAAGAAGAGGCTCCAGGTTGACAAATGGTGGGGAAATAGTAAGGAACTGGCTACTGTTCGCACTATTTGTAGTCATGTACAGAACATGATCAAGGGTGTTACACTGGGTTTCCGTTACAAGATGAGGTCTGTGTATGCTCTCTTCCCCATCAACGTTGTTATCCAGGAGAATGGGTCTCTTGTTGAAATACGAAATTTCTTAGGTGAGACATTCATCTGCAGGGTTCGGATAAGGCCAGGTGTTGCTTGTTCAGTATCTCAAGCACAGAAAGATGAGTTAATCCTCGAAGGAAATGACATTGAGTTTGTTTCAAATCAGGCTGCTTTGATTCAGCAAGCCACAACAGTTAAAAACAAGGATATCAGAAAATTTTGGGATGGTATCTATGTCTCTGAAAAAGAAACAGTTCAGCAGGCTAATGAATAAGATCTAAGAGTTGTCCAGCCACATGAAGACACCGCATGATTACTAAGATGTATTTGTAATTTTGATGGTGCAACAAAAGAGCTGTTGGTTTGTGGGGAAAAAAAGATCCGGGTCTACAAACAAACAAACAAAAAACTTAGCCAGGCGTAGTAGTATACATCTATAGTCCCAGCTACTGGGGAAACTGAGGTGGGAGGATTGCTTGAGCCAGGAGTTTGAGGTTGCAGTGAGTTATGATGATACCACTGCACTCTAGCCCAGGCCAAAAAAAAAAAAAGTGTTAGTCTAGTACAAGACACAGGCAAGTAAATATTTATAAAAAGCATGATAAGGGCTGTTATTATTTATAAGAAATAAAGGAACACATTACCTATCTTTAAGGGAATCAAGGAAGGTCTCATGGAGAGGAGATCTAAGGAGCAGTGAGTGTTCTTTTGTGTTAAATGATGAAGAAAGCAGGGAGGATAAGGGGTGAAAAAGGTAGGAGGTCCCTGGTGATTTTAAGAAGGCAGTTTTGGGAGGAAACCACATTTCAAAAAGCTGAATAATGTAGTACAGATAAAGCGGTGAATATGTGGCTTAAAGGAAGCTTGGTGATAGACAGCAAATAGCTTGACAAGAGAGTCAAGAGAAAGTTTCTGTGTGTGTCTTTTTATTTTTCCTCCATTGAAAAAAGATTTAAACATATTTGTAGATTTACAGAAGAACCCAATATAGAAGGGAAAGGGGGGAAAACTGAAAAGGCAACAGAAAAAGAGAGTATGACTCATAAATTAAGAGCATTCAATACATGTTTTTTAAAATCTTTTGCTAAGCACTCACTGTTTCAGTAGCTGGGAATGAGGCAGACAGGCTCCTATTCTCATAAATCACTGCTTGCAGATTAGGGGAGGGGGTTAGCATCAAGGATATACATGGAGGATTAGTCTTGGAGGAAAAAAGAGAATGGAAGAAGAAAGAAAAATTTAGAGATGAAGAAAAAGGAAGCTGAGGGCATTCATTTCACATGGAATGCTTTTAACCAGAGTTAGAAATGACATGGGAGAGATAAGAATGTATTTTGGAGTGGGATAATAACACAAATATCATAAAAGTACTGGAAGTAGACTTTACAAGAAAATATAGACTGTCTTGACAGGATGAATGTATGGAGAATTTAGATGAAGGTTGGAAAGGGAGCATAATTTATGTAGTCACAGATTGGGGGTGAAAGGGAAGAACCTGTGAGAGAATACCTGAAGGAAAGGGGGTTTTGTTTTTGTTTTTGCTTTTCAAATTGGTCTGTTTTTAAGGGCTAAGTGAGGAAAGTGAGTTTGCTTTTAGACTCATTGAATGAATATCCCCCTGGGATAGTCCAGTGTAGACAATGGAGATATACATGGTTTGGAACTGAATTGAGTTGCCTGAGCCAGAAATAGAGATCTGGAAGTCATCAGTAAACAGGTGAATACTAATTAACGCCTTGGGAGTAGATGAGCTTGCCTGAGAGAGAAGTGAGAAAAGCATTAAGAACACCAACATTGGAAACACTAGCAATTGGGAGACAGGAGGAAAAAAAGACTCTGAAAAGCAGAACGTGAAAGAGAGCTAGAAAGGGAGGAGAACAACCACAAGAGAATGGTGTCACAGATACATAGACGGAAGAGTGGATTTATAAATGAATTTTGTTTTTAACACGTTGAATAAAAGGTATCTCTCTGTGAGGTGTCCTGTATGCTTTTTCTCCCATATTCCCTGTCTTGGTGAATGTGACCATTATTTATCCAGTGGCCCATACTCATACCCTACTCCCACCCAGTGCTGTTCCAAGGTCCTAGAATGTCTCTTAAACCCATTGCCTTCTTGACCATTCCACAGCCCTTCTTTAGTTTAAGTTTTGCTTCTCTCTTTGATTATTACAATAACCCTCTCACTAGTTTCCTGGCTTCTCTGTTAGTCCCTCTTAATCCATTTCCATATTGCTACTGCTAATGATAAGTAACTACCATCTATTGAGTACTTATCAAGTACTTTGCTAAGTGGTTTAAATGGATCATCTAGCTTAATCTTCTCAGTAACCCTATGAATTAGATGTTATTATTGTTGATTTACAGCTGAGGAATTAATGCTCAGAGAGGTTAAGTAATATGTACTTAAGTATTATATTTAAGTTTACCTAGCTAGTAAGTGGCAAAGCCAGAACTCAAACTCTGGGGCTTAGCTACTATGTTCGTTGCCATACTGCTCCCAAAACACAATTGGGTCATGTTAGTCTCATTTGTAAAATTATTCAGTGGTTCCCCATTACCTTTAGGATAAAAATCCAACGTTATTTCGGTCTTTCTTGATTTGGCCTGGGCCTACTTAGTTTTCTATTCTTCTTCACATTCCATGAAATGCTTTTCCTTGTTTCCTATAGGTTATAAGATCCTTACAGGTAGGAGTTAATACTTTTATCTCTTTTATGGTTCCAGAAGTTTGACAGGTGTTTCAGAAATCTAATTAGATGACCGTTAACAAAGAGGTTTCAGTAACTTCAGGTAATCAGTCTTCCTGGTTTGCTTTTCCCAGGAGGGTAGAGAAGTTACTTGTTGGGAAGATGATACAATTCCCTCTTTCTGACATTCTTATTCCACACAACCCAAGAGATCTAAGTCATCTTCACCATCAAGGTTAACCTTAAAGTAAGGTCAGGAATTATTTCAGGTCTCCTTTTTATTCCCAGTGTCTGGTAAAATGGCAATAATGAGAAACAGTACAACATTGTAACTCTGAGCCTTACTGCCAAGGATCTTATCCTAGCTCTACCATTCATTAGCTGTGTGGTCCTTGGCAAGTAAGTTACTTAACCTCCCTGCGTGCCAGTTTCCTCTGCTGCAAAATAAGAATAATAATGATATTTATCTCATGGAGTTATTTGAAGGAGTTAATATGAGTTAATATATATAAAGCACTTAATCTATATAAAGTTTAAAGGAGTTAATATATAAAGCATTTAGAACATTAAGATATTGTAAGTTGTCTATTTGCTATTAAAATCAGAAATAGGTCTAAAATACACATTCTGATTAAGTATGTGATCAACATTCACTGTTAGGTATGCTTAATCAATTAGTATAAATGACCCACAACAGATTCTTTCTTATTTTGACTAGGGGTGGGTGTGAAGAGAACACAAATGCTCTAGAAAGAAAACAAAAAATATATTTTAGAAGAAGAAATATATTTTAGAAAATATATTTTAGAAACAGAAATGCTCTAGAAAGAAAACAAAAAATATATTTTAGAAGCAGAAATCTCTGAAGTGCCACAATTGTGTAGAAAAAGACAAATAGAAGCTATTTATTGATAATATTTGTAAATAACTGTAGCTTTGTTCTCCATTATTTCTGAAGTTTCTTGTCTAAAAATTTGGCTGACTTTGTTACCAATAAAACAAATTATTATCATAGATACTATTGTATAGTCAGCTTCACACATGAATACCATCCACTCTACCCTTCTGAGCTTTACCTTTGTAAGCAACCTTAAACCTCATGGACCTTAGTGATACAAAGATCATTACTTTTGGGGGGAACAGCTAGCACAGGAACCACAGATATGTGATATGACATCACTGATGTTGAGGGTTTCTAAATTTAATATTTATTATATGCCCAGATTGATATAGGTTCTGGGCATCTTATAATGGACACTTTCTGCTTTGCATTTTAAAAGGAAATAGTGGCACTTTTATTTCAGTCACATAAGACCATTTTACCAAATGGTTGCTGAAATTTGTGCAATATTATATCAACAGATTAATTCATAATATTTTCATTCCATGATAGAGACCAATATAGGAAAGGATATGTTTTAGATGAAGATAAAACTAATTAGCTAAGATGTTTATGTCCGTAGTAAATGATTGTAGAATAAACAGACATTAGGTCTTGGACTTCTGTACGGTAATGAAAAACTGGCATTTGAGTGTCCACCTAGTATGTTGACATTGCTAGATATTAGATATTTTGATGGGATTTTAAACACTATAGAAACTAAAATGAAGTGAGCTTATGGTATAATTTAGACTAAAGGAAAGCAAACTGAGGACTAGTATTTGAGTGCCCACTATGTGCCACGCATTATGTTAGGCACTTTACATTGTTTGTATTATTTAATCAACTTAAAATACATAGTTAAACCAAACTGATTTGGAATAGTGATGAAGCAAGACTGTTTAAAGGAAAGTATTAATTATCAAGTATTTCTAAAATAATACATTCATATTACTTATGAAAACAGTCAATGTCTTAGCTTGGGCTACTATAACAAAATATGGTAGACTGGGTGGCTTAAACAACAGATATTTATTTCTCACAGCTCTAATGCCTGGTGAGTTCAAGATTAAGGTGCTGGCAAATTCAGTTCCTGGTGAAGATCTGCTTCCTGGCTTGTAGAGCTGCCTTCTCCCTGTGTGCTCACAGGGCTTTTCGTGTGTGTGTGTGTGTGTGTGTGTGTGTGTGTAGAGAGAGAGAATGCTTTCTTCTTCTTACAAAGCCACTCATCCCATCATGAAGGTCCAACCCTCATGACTTAATCTAAACTTAAGTACCTCCCAAAGGCCCCACCTCTAAATACTTGGGGTTAAGGCTTCAACATATGAATTTTGAGAGGACGCAAACATTTAGCCCATATAGTCAATATGATAAACCAAACCATTAGTATAAAAAAAATGAGGTTAACAGATGAATATATAAAATACATGAAAGGCCTAAAGCAATATTCCACACTATACAAAAATAGAAGCTTACAAATAGAAAAAAATATGTAAATTCATATCAAAGAAATCTTTAATTTGTAAATTCTTTGGATAGGAAAAAAATTACTTCATTTAATAGCTGGAATTCTCCTATAATGTTATAAAGAGAGACATCTTCGACTTCTAGCTCAGGATAAAGGTTAAAGGGTGAAAGGAGAGATAAGAGTATTATTTTGCTTAATTGAAATTGATTTGCATAATGTAATGTAATAATATTGATAGATAAAATTCCTTTGTTTAGGATGAGAGCGGCTTCTTCATTCTTGATATCACCCTTTCCCACTTCTGTTCCTCTTGTGCATTCAGAGGGAA